GCAGCGGCGGCGGCAGCCTCTGCTCTCGCGCTCGCTGCGCACCCACGTTGGCAAATTTTAGTTCCTTTCTTCCTCTAGACGCCCCCTAAAACGTTTCTGTGCACATGGTCCCCGAGGAGAATATTTATATTTCCAGCCCCTGGTGCCATCCCGGCCTGAGCGCCCTTTGTTTAAAGGCAGATTTTGATTAAACAGGGGCGGTCATGAAATCTGGAGCTGCCTGGGTCAAGTGATTCCAGTCCTCCCCGAAATAAACGTGTCTGGGGGAGGCTAAAAAGGCAGATAGCGCACCCATTTTATAGGGATAGGGCCAGTGGGGGGTAGCGATCCTCCTGGAGGGGTTGTTACGCTTCGGGGCAGCTGACAGAAAATGTTATTAACTTAAGTTGGACAAGTACTTGTGTGAAATTTGATGGTTTGTAAGATGGCGGTTCCCAGTTGTTTCCAATGTCTCCTCTTACATTTGTGCTTAAAATGCTAAAGTTTTGGGGCTGCGGCTGCTGGGAGAGGACGGGGGGGACCAAGACTGGAGAATAACTTTTTTGCAGAGATAGCAATTTTGCTGTGATCCTCGGGAATTGGGGTGTGCAGTTTGCTCGAGCTTGTGGAGCAAAGGTGATGTGCCTGTAGCTCGCAGTGGTTGCTTTTTAAATTTATTTTCTCTGACTTTTTCTTTCTTTCTTTCTCTTTTTTTTTTCTCCTCTTGAGTCCCGGGAAGGGTAAATTAACGTGAAATCCTTTGTCGAGTCTTAACCGTGTCACGAGTTGGCTCGTCATGCTGTTTAGAGGCAGCACTAGAAAGTTGGTGGTGTGCGTTTGTGGAATTGTATGGCCTTGGCAGTATATAACCTGCGTCGTTTCGGTGTGTTTACTGCAAATATTTGCGGATAAAGAGGTGAAAATGGGCAGGAAAATCGCATTTCTTTGGAAGTGAGATAGTCACTTTTCAGCATCTAGAAGCTTTGGTTCCCTCCTCCACCCCTCAGGAAAGTTCAGGCGAGTCCCGGCGTGGGTGCCCAGGTGCCAGCCGAGCATCAGCCGGGGTTTTGCGCTCTCTGTATTGCTCAGGGCGACTTATTTCATGGGACTGTCCCAAAGACCAGGGCGATTCTGGAGATGCAGCCCGCCGAGTGCGCCGAGAGGGTCTCGCTATGTCCTGCACACTCACTGCTAGTACCACTTTATTATTATTATTATTTTCAGTTTGCCAGAGACACGAAGTGTTGACCTACATGATCAGGCGAATAGCTAGAAAATTATCATTTTGATATATTTTGGCGTGGGCGCGTTTTGTGGTTCGGGCAGTGAGTTTTAGGGAGCTGACATGAAGGCTTGGGGTCTTTTTCCACCCTCGCGCCATTACTCGTGTCCTGCCTGGCCGCAGCGTGCGAGGCAAAGATATTTCAGCTACACATGCGTTCTGTGAAAGAAACACTAGCCCTCCTTTAAAACATATGTGGGCATTCTTAAGTGAAAGTGTAATAATAGACTGCGTAGGGATTGATAAGAGGTGAAGATGCGGCGTGACAGCTTCCCCGTTACCCCCCAGAGAGGTTTCCGAGTAGGCAAAGACGCCGAGTACACGGCGCTCCACGAGGGATGTTCCCGTGTTTTGCGTGTATTTTCCGGCCGAGATGTGCCCAGCCACGTTTCATAGCTTGTTGCCTTGATGGATATTTATTAATGGAGCTGGCCCTTAGCAGGGGAATGTCCTTCTGCTTTTCCTCCTTTTGACATAACCCATTTCAGGCCTCTAAATAATAATGCTGGCCGGCGCTGCGTGCTACCAGCACGGAGGTCTCCACGTACCCCCCGTGTGGCTGTCCCGCGTGGCACTGCGAGAGTATCAATGTCCCCAGTAGTTTGCGTGGCCCGAGCTGCACCCCCGAGCGCAGCTCTTCCGCGCACCCGTCGCTGCGCTGCGCGGGTAGGAGCGGAACGCGCCGCGGCTGCGCGGGGGAATCAACGCGCGGGGGCCCACGCGCGGAGTGGTGGGGACCGTGTTGGGGAGCCAGGCGCCTGGTGCAGTTCGCGGGAGCGAGTCCCGATTTCCAAGATAAGCCCCAGCACGCTGAAAATGTGCTATCTTCGGGCAATAAATAACCCGTGTTTAGGGGTTGCTTCGACAAAAAAAAAAAAAAAAAAAAAAAAAAAAAAGTTTCAGGGCTGAATTTAAGCCTCCTCCTTTGGGGAAGGGGCTGCGTGAAATAAAACGTGTTAACGCCTCGAAAGGTTTGTCCCAGGCTGCGCGGGCTGGCGAGGAGGAGCAGTCGGTTTAGGTGACCCCGGTCACGGCTGGGGTTTTAGCTCACGTATCTATGAACGATAGGGTTCTGCTCTTAACAAATAAGACACAGCCCTGCGACAGCAGCCTGTTCGGGTCTGAGCACCTAGGGAGACCCCGGAGACGCGGGCTTTGCCGTCCTGTGCTGCTCGAGACAAGTCTCGGAGTCTTTCTTGGGGAAAGCCAAGCGCCGGGGTCCTTTGGAAGTTAGAAGTGGAGGGTCAGAGACCCTTGGAAGCGCCGTGCAAATCGGAGTGCAGGGAAGTGGGGCTCCCGCTTTTGTGCCTGGGGCTAGAAGCAGCTCTGGGCATCTGCTCCCCGCCGCTGCTTGGGCACGTCGCTTCCCTGTGGCTTCCTCGCTCGCATTTGGCGATGGGGGGTTTGTGCGCCGCTCACTCGGAGCTGCTCCGGCGGCAGCAGCACAAGTTTCTCGTGCCGAGGTCGCTCGTCGGCGCTGCGTGCACTTCTTGGCAAACGCCGCAACCCCGTCCCGACCGGGGTGGCTGAAATTCCAGGCGCCCGGGGACCTTAGAGCATCGTCCCGCGCCGCGGCCGCCCCGGGCGGCGCGGCGAGCGGGACGGCTCCCGGCGGCGGAACGGGAAAATCCCGGGTGTCCCGGGAGCTCTGGCGCGGGGCAAGGAGCGCTCTGCACCGCGCGAGCGCCGATCTGTCATCTTTCTGTTCATGATCTCTTTGACAGAAAATATTTTCCCGTGCAGTTGGCGTAGACGATCGGGTTTTTCCCCTTGTGGAGTTTCCCCTCCTATTCCCTCTTATTTTAAGTTGTGTTTAGCGTTAGTGCCACTGCCTCCGATGGGGGTTTATGGGTTGCAGGCTGTGAAAATGACATTTGTTTTTCGCTCTTGTCGCTGCATTGTGTTGACAAGGTGTTGATTTAGCTTTAGGAATGATCTGGTCACATGGTGCCGTGCGTGTTGTCACTAATGTACCGCTTAAAGTCGGTTTGGGGCTTTTTATTTTTTTCCCTTCATTTTTATTTTTTATTTTTTAATTTCCTTGGTGCATTTCATTGTTGGAAGGGAGGTTTCCCGGAGGACCCGGATTTCTGTTTTCTCCCTCCCAAACACCTTGCCCTTGTGCTGCGGATCTGTTTCCACCCCTTGCAAAACTTCACTCCGTCCACGGGAACCTTTTTCAAATGAGACCCGGAGCGGGGGGGAGCAAAGAAGGAAAGAAGGAAAGAAAGAGAGAAAGAAAGCGAGAAAGACGGAGAGAAGGAGTGGGAGGGGGCGGAGGAGGGAAGGGGGCCGGGGCGCGCGGTGCGGGCCCGTAGGCG